TTTAATTTCTCCAGGTGCCAAAAGGATTTCAAGAACGGGATACAAGTTATGAAAAAGTGTTTTTTAACGGTAAGTTATATTCCCACCTTCCGCTGTACTGTTAATATTTGTGTAACTTGTTAAGACAAAATGATTTGCCTGCATTTCACCCATTTTATTTTATTTCGAATTTTCTGATTTTAAGTGCAGAAATTCAAATCTCACTTTCAGGAAAACCAGACAAAATTCTACTATAGTTTTTACTTTTGTTAATTTCGGTTGTTTCGGTTTAATTTGTGTTTTAGGACGCCGAAATCAGTGTCCTGTCCGACTGAGCTTTCTCTCGAAGGGTCAAGTTTTCATCAAGGGTTCTTATACTTTGTATCGTTTAAATGTGTTTTTTTCCATCATAGTTTCTCTTGGACGTGCTCCATTAACGAAAAACCGTTTTGGTTTGCCTTACAACATTTGCCTTCTAAAGCCAGTAGCTGTGTAATCTCTCTTGGCTGATTCAAACGCTTTTATAACGCTTTCCTCTCCGAAACTATAGACATTGTAAGGATTAAATGGACTAATTCGTAAGTTTTTTTTCTTTCTCCAGCTAACGATTTCATGAACGGACCTCAAGTTATGGAAAGTGTTTTTTCAAAGGTAAGTTCTATTCCTGTTTTCCACTATATTACCTTCATTTCTGTAAACCTCGATAAGAACACGCATTTCCCAGCATTTTAACACTTGAACGGGTTTATATTACCCAAATAACGTCTTTTGCTGTACTTTAGTTGAATAGAAATAAAAGGCTGTAGGGCTCAGGCTATTTTCTTCATCTATTGAATCAATGGAGGAAACAAACAATACTAACAAATTTAAACGGCGGTTTTCAAAGAAGAGAGTTATATTGAATATGATACGCGCCATAAGCGGCGCTTCATCTTAACTTCATTAGCAGCATTTAATTCTTGTGGTTGAACATGTTTTCTCAAAATGGAGTAGTGGGTTGGAATGTATCCGTGATTTCACATGAAATTACCCATTGCTTGCTTATTGAATTGGAGTGCGTTTGTGAATGTCTTTATTCAGGCAGCGTATTTAAAAAGATAATAGATTTCAAAACGTCAAGTGAATCGATTCTGCAAAGCTGATATCTTAACTTGATCTTTTTTCTTTTGCTTTCAGTTCTGCGGCCCCTCATCCTCAGCGCTCCGTTGAAATCGTATCCACTCCAGCAACTCGTCGTGCGTTGGCAAGTTTTTCTTGACAATGTGTGCTTTTCCTTGAATGTTATTTTTGACAACAGTGCCTGTCATGTACCGATTCAGTGTTGTATCTTGCTCTTAATGTTGTTAAACTGTTCCCTGTTGACTGCTGCTACTGTATGTGCTGTGCATTGTGAAATAAAAACCGTTCATTTGCATTTTCTGAATTGTCTGCTATTTTTTCAAGGTGTGTTGGAAGGGTTTGCTCTGGGCTGGTGTCTCATTGCTGTAAGTTTTTGGCTGCAAAATCTGGAGAGAGCAATCAGTTTCCGAGAAGCGATGCGATGGGTTGTTTTGTCCTTTGCGCCACGGCCGCAAGGGGACACCCTATCGCATCGTGACTTGGAAACTGCGGGGGCTACCCCCTTTTTAAGTCGCTCCAGATTTTCCCGCCTTTTTAGATAGTCTCTGGGGGGTGAGGGAGCCGAGGTACAGCCCCTAGGGGAGGGGGAGGGAAGCTCTAGCCAAGCCCCCTCACTCCCAGCTGAGAGGAAGGCGGGCTGGAGGTGGCTTTGGCCCGAGAGAGAGGAGGCACCCAGGGCGGACTCAGCCTATCAGTCACAGCTTGCAACCAACAGACTTCTAAGTCCACACCAGGAGACCTGCCTCTCTGCAGGGACCTAGGCCATCACCAACCTGCCTTCCCCTGCTGCTGGGAGTGAGTGGGCTTGGCTAGAGCTGCAGTCAATCACCCAGCCCCTCTCTCCAAAAAGAGGAGTAGACGGGCTGGATTTGATTGATGGGAGAGACCACGCCCTGCAAGAGCCCCGGTATATACTAAGTTTTTTGGCGGGAAAATCTGGACAGACTTAACAAGGGGGTAGCCTCTGCAGTTTCCAAGTCACAAAGCGATAGGGTGTCCCCTTGCGGTCAGTGACAACAAGGAAAAAACAGCCCTTCGCATTGCTTCTCGGAAACTGTTAGTAAAGTCTCTCCGCCAAAAAACTCACCAACACCGGGCTTTTCAGGACCAAGGGTGTACAGAACTCTGCATGAGAACAGAAACAACAAAACACATCAAACTCCAATCAACAATTTATTGAGCGAAAACTGCATACAAAACAAAGCATTCCAGTACGAGCGATGCACAGATTCGAAATGAAAATTAACACCTTTTAAATTACAAAGCGTCAAAGCAAGGCTACATTAACACTAAAGACTTTTTACAAGTAAGCAGAGTACAAAAACATTAGCATGCAACGTTAAACAACGCATTCCATTGCATACGACAGATGCACAGGATCTGAAGTGAAAAGTAACATGGATTTAAATGACAAAGTCTCAAAGCACGGATACATTTACGCTAAAAGCTTTTACAAATAAACAGTGTACAAAAAGTTTTGCACGCACCTACAGTACACGGAAAAGCACAGAAACATACGGCACATTACTGTTTCTCCAATGGATCTGTCGAGGCAGCGACCAGAATGAAGACTGGAACTTCGTTGCATTTCCTGCAAAACAGAAATCAGTATTAGTGGTGCTTTCTCGTAATCATCCCACCTAGTTAGATCGAGCTACCTGACATTACCAGAAGATGAGTTTAAAAAGATCTACAGTTGGAATAAAGCGCTTAACCTGGTGCAACGGGTAACGTTCCCGTCTAACAGGGTATTGAAGAAATCAGGCTTGCATTTAAAGTGTGAGAATATCGAAGGCATAGCACATTCAATAAAGCTACAGTGGTATCGATTGATAGAAACTACCACATTCTACTGTTTTTTTACGATTTCCTTTTTTATTAGCATTCAACATGTTCTGAAAAAGCTGAGTTAACACACGAACAATTAATCCAAATCTTTATAGGCTCCGTTGTGCGCATCGAAAAAGCTCAAGTGATCGCAGTTTTGGCAGAAAATGATTCCTATAAACAGCAAACCTACAGTGCTGTTGGGTCAAAACCACTTCTGCCCTGGAGAAATCTTTTATATCCTAGATTGAATCTTGTTACGACAAGGTGCATCACGTTTTACAACAAGTTGGAAGTATAGTATATGCTGTACTTCAGTATGATACGTGTAAACGAATGAAAAGGTTTATACTTACATAGATAATTCCAGCAGCTGAGTCAAGCTTATCCTGCCCAAAAACTTCAAACTGGAAACACAAGAACACATTTAGACGCCATTCTAAAGATATTGTAAACCCAAGTTTCTTAGTAAAATAAAGTGTTTATACTTACATTCCCATTATTTAGTGCGAATCATATCCAACCCGAAAAAGCTCAACTGAAAACACAAAAACGGAATTTAGAATTCAAAGTATTTAAATTAATAAGTATACGTTTAAAGCGGTGGTTTTACCACAAATACAAGATTATACACAACTTCTCTGGAAGATAATAAAATTACTTGGTAATTCTTGGTAGGCTGCTTTAGTTTCGAATAAATGCACACGCTTGATTTTGTGAGCAAAATGTATGAAGTGTTTGATAAAGAAACATTAAATAAAAACATACGGAAAGGCGACGTTTTCATTCTGTGAATACAGCAGTGTCTTTATTTCTGCAACAGAGCTTTTCTTCGAAGTAAAATACACACTTTGTCTTTGTAGCGGTTTGTTAAAAACGCGGTGAGCTTTAGAAAGGAAAAGACAGAGCAAAAATGGCTATTTAGCTCCCAACGAATATATGTATTGTAACAGTATTTTACCCAATTTTACTACGAGATTTAGACTAAATAATTACAGGAATTAAATACATTTTATCTACGTACGAATAAAGGAAAAGTAAAAAAATCCACGGAAAGCGGAACAAACTCACCCAGCTCCCTTCTCTCTCACAGAACCTGGTGGACAGGTGAGCGGGGCGTGGCCTGCAGACAATGTCATGCAAGTGGGCGTGGCTACAGGCTGACGTTGCAGGGCGCTTTTTTTCATAGCTCCGCCTGAAAACTCGTGGAAGAAATCGAGCATATTTCCAGAAGCCCCCATGGGTTACAACTTACACTTGTTAACAAGTTACACAAGTTACTCTTGTAACACTTGAAACTATTTTTTTCCCCATGTCCATCAACATACATCTTATCCTTACCTATCCGTAGTATTTGAGGGCCAGAGGAATAAGAATGAAAGAAGTTAGAAATATGTTGGCGAGCAGTGGGGTCTAAAGGTCATAGCAAGACACTTATTGTTGTAGAACTTGATTTATTTTAAAGCTGTGCCCAGAAGTGAGATTTTTTTTCATCTGTAAATTTTTATCATTCACTCAGTTTACTACTTCTGTATTTCTTATTAGTCTTGCCGCTGATGTGTTAATTTAAGAAATTACAAGAAAACGAGAACGTTCAAATGAGAGGACAGTATTTGATCCACGTAGTCCTTTTGATTTCTAGTACCAGTTTGATTGCAAAATCTCATGCAGACATCCGTTGAACGAAGACAAGCTGTTGGTGTCTACAAAATGACTGGTTCACCTGTGCCATTCTCCCACAACTCTTTGTGCAAGGATCTTTTAAATACACTTCCCCATGACATCTTTTCATGTTTCCATTGGTTTGTGTCAAAGTAGCTCACATTGTATTACTGTAACTTAATTTTTAACTGGTTAACTGCATTAACAGGGAGTACTTAAGCCATTAGCACAAGTGCAATGTACCAAAGTTCATATTATATTCAAAGAAATTCAAATTTCTTAACCACAGTGCAACCCCAATTTGTAACTTTAATCCTTACCCCAATCATTATATATGATAAAAGATCAAGAAAGCTTGAGTTTACAAAGGAGGAGGTGGAAGAATATTTCACACAGTGACCCCAGACTACATGGCTACACTCGATAATGCAAATTAACTCACCATTCCTTCTGAAGAGTGGGAACCTACCTGGTGGGAGATGAACAATTTCCTGAAAAGGCCCAGAGCAGGATCAGTGTCAGAGCCAGAGGATCACAGACACTGTGAGAGACTCAGGCGGAGACTCCGGAAGCTGCTGAAATCCGTAGGGAGGAAGAACTACCTCAAAGAAAGCCGACTGTTTGCCGAGAGATGCTTCAGGGCTGAAAGAGGACTCAATGAATCTCAAGCAATTCCATAACTTTTCACTTCTTAATGCGGAAGATAACATTTGTTTCAGAATCACAGTCAACAGGTTGAACTTTATTGTACTGTGAGTTTCTGACCTTTCTAAGAGGGAATATGTATGAAAATATATGAATATATTTTGGAGGAAGATGTTCATGGTCCATTTCCCATCCCCAGCTTTTTCAAAGTGGTAGAGAACCAGTAAAAGGTGTTAATTAATACTGGGGTTGTGCCTGAGTAAGGGAAGCCAGGAGAAAATAATGATAATTCCACATTTTTAGGGGAAAAAGGATTTACAGAAATCAAGGGATGAAAATGAAAGCCCATAGGTGATGGGGTTGTTTGAGTACATGAGGAAAAACAAAACCATCATCAGAAACAAATAAGATGTTATTTCAGACTCTACTGGTAATTCAAAACAGTCATCCTGATAGTTTTGCCTACTTACCAAGCAGAAGGACCAATTCTCAGTGAAAATGGAAGGAGGTGTCTCTTGTCCTGTCCCTAGTTTCCTGTGGTTTGCTGTCCTTCCGGTGTCTCTCTTTCTGGGGCTATATATGTCCGGGTCTCTCATTCACCTTCACCCAGCATTGATGTCCTGAGACTCGCCTAGCATCCAGGTCGCCCCACGTCTGCTGCCTGATGGCATTGGTTTCTATACGACTCCTGAACTGCTGAGCCCGGGCTAATCCCTTGTTCCGCCGCTACGCATATGGGTCTTTTTCCGCTCTCCTGCCTCTCCAAGGTTCATCCCTTCCGACATCCGTGACAGGAAGGTGTTCAACTGGAAAAAAACAGTTAACAAATCATCAGCCAATACAGGGCACCAAAATAATGGAAGGCAAATTTTGTGTCTCAAAATAATGCCTTAATCTACTTTGTTAACTGAAATTACAACACTCTCTATCAATCATGATTATTTTTAAACACAGTTGACTCAGAGAGCAAAGCACATTTTTGTAATGGTCTGCAGCACTGACTTTAACATTAACTGAGAGCTCCATTTAAAATCACAGCAGGCATTGCCAAGTGTTCTGACACAGTAAGAGAAATAATATTGGGTTCTGAAGTGATTTAAGAGTTAAAATAAAAAAATCTGTATATGCATAAAGGAATGCATATATAAAACATATTCAAATAATTATATTTCTCTTTTAATCTAGTTATAGTGGAAGGTCGAGAAACAATGTTTAAGCAAACTCTGTTAAATCACTGTGGTAGTGTCTCTGGAAGGCTTCCCTGGAACCTGCCATTTTGGCTCAAGCCCTGGCTGTAGTGTTTCTCTGAGCCAAGATGGCTTCTGCGCAGGCCGGGATTTGGAAGCAGGTGTCCATTATTGAGCTAGACACACCTAGGCATTCCACATGAGGATTTCAGTGCTTTGGGATAGGTTCCTGTGAAATTAGCTAAGCCTGTGTAATTGATTAAGAGGCTTATAAAAGTGAAGCCTGGGATACCTGCATATTAAACTTGTGCTTTAAGTGGGAGAAGCCGAAGGCGAAGGCTTGATGTTTCTGAAGTGTTTTGGGGGAGAAGTATAAGATGTGAAGAGTTGTTGAATTCTGCCAGAGCACTGTTACAGAAGCTAGCTGATCTGTGGGACTTCTGTCAAGTTGAGGTGAGTCTTAAGTTGAAGCTAAACTACCATGATGGAGCTCCTGGTCAGTGGTGCTGAACAGTTATGCATATAAAAACATGAGGGAGGGGGACAATCTGAGTTAGGAGGGCTTCTGCTATTTTTAAAGCCTTCCTTTAAATGAGGGTTAGTTTTGACTGCTCTTTAAAAAGGCCTTTGGAGTGGTTTTAAGTATGATTATAATGCATTGCATTCTCAAATGCTCATGCTGTAAGTAATTATCCTATCACTTTTCTCTGCCATCACTATTTTGGTTCCTCTTTCTCCTCTTCCTTGCTCACTTCTGTGGTGCACTTGTTTTTACTGACTAAACCATTTATTGGTTTTCGCTGTTGCCTTTCAGATTTGGATTTGTCTAGCTTCTACTGCCCTCTCCTGGTTTTATTTATTGCTTCTGGGACTAAAGCTACTGTTTGTGGCTTTTTTTTTTTTTAGCCCTGTCCAAGGTCTATTTTTCTCTTCCTTTGTCTACTAAACTGAGGGTTCATGAGTATGTACAGTATTGTTTGGTCTTGCAAGATAGTTTTCCAGGTTTCCATCACTCATGTCTCTGCCACAAGAGTCCTATTCTAAAGGACTAAGCTTTTAGGCTTTCACATTGGGGATCTTCCTATAGGTATAACTGGAAGCAGCTTGTCTCTGGAATACATGAACTATAGACACTAAGGGAGAAATAACAGGACATGGCTCTGCTTGGCTCCTTAAATGGGAGAAATTAAGTGGCAGTCAAACAACCCTGTCCTTCTGTGCTAAAATGCGCTTCATCACAATGTATAAGCCACTGGATAAAGTGTGGGAGTCTTTCAATGATGGCTCCTCAGGTCTTGTGAGATACATTGATTTGATTTTTTTTTTCTTCCCCCCTTTTAAGAGGTGCTTTGGATGCTACCCTACCTTGAGCCCTGTTCTTCACTGGGAGCTGAAGCTCCAGAGAGAGGATGGGATGAAGAACAAAGCTGGTATTTGTGTGATCTGACCTGTCAAGTGTTTAGTCCTGTTTATGTAATTGCTTTGTCTATGCAATAAAATAAAGGTGTCTAGGTTTTTTTTTTTTAATACAGCCATTACCTTATACAGTGAGCTCTATCTTCGGTGGTACCAGAACACCAGAATCGTCTTGGATGCTTTGATCTGGAGATCAGTGCAAGGGTAATACTCCTTCAGGATTGGTTTTTAGGCAGCATTGCCACCTGCTGCCAATTGTCCATCCTAATTCCCATAAGGATTGGTAGTGGGGATATACTGATTGGATTAAGTATTCATTAGGTCTTGCTTCTACTTGATAACTTATTTGCCTCCACAAAGTCATATGGAGTAGTTAAGTAAAACAACAGAATTATAACCTTGCTATCTAACAGACAGAAATCCAAGTGTAATAACATCTGTTATGTTCACTGGCTACTTGGAACTATAAGGGAGGGTCAGGTCTAACCTGGGCCTCTCAAACTGCTTTTGGGGAAAGAACTTTCTATAATCTGGATTTACAGGTATTCTAAATTGAGCTGAATCTATACTAGCTAGCAGTAGATTGCCCCTGGTAAGAAGTACGTACCAGTGAGTAATCAAAGTTAAATGGAGTAACTTTTCCCAGTGCACCTAGTAAGAGAGTGGGTGACTTATTGGTTTTTTTTTTCCCTCCATCAGGAGGACTGGAGACCCCTCTACGTGAGATTATAGTAGCTGAAGACTGCTTCTGGTGGGGATTTCAGTGTGGAGTCCTCATACTTCTGAAATACCAGCTAAACTACTCTGCAGCAGCTGTTGGGAACAGGCTGGGTCCTGTTAAGTCCTATCTTGAGTGCTGCAGTAATACTCTAACTGTGCAAAACCTGGAATACTTCATAAGCCTTCCATTAGTTACAGATAGCTTCTTGGAAATAACTAGACTGAGACACCAGAGCTGTAGATCAAATAGTCTCATCTTCATGACCACTGTAGTCATTTCAGTACTGTGCAAAACAGAAGCATAAGTTTTTGTTGTGTTGATATTGCTTTTCCTCCTGAAGTTTCTATATTGGCAGGAATCTACTTGGAAATACCTGGTGTGACCCACCAATCACTCTTCACCCACACTCTCTACCAGCTAGAGAAGGGATACATTGAATAAAGGGGAGTATTAACAAGCACAGGTGATTAATCTAGACTGAATTTAGGGAGGAAAACAGGGTTAACACCCCTACACTTTCATCTTTCTGGAAATCACCTCCCGGCCCATTACCCAAATGATAAAAGCTCTTACACACCACTTGCAGTAACTGCTTGGATTTCCATGTGCTGTACTAGTCCTGAGTATGCTCAGACTTGCTTAAGATGGGAATAAGGTACATGGTTTTTTCCAGATCTGCTTCCGGATGAGAAGGTGATGGTTTTTATTGTGCAAATTTTGGAAACCAAATACAAGCTCTATCGTCAAAGTGGGGGGGTGGTCTGGAGTACCTATTGGTATTTCCTGTTGGTCAGACTTTCATATACGGAGGAGCTGTTTCTATTGGTCCTATTGGCCTGACACGGCAACCAATCAAATCATTTTCTAGATAGCCGGTGACAACGCTGGGTGACCATCTTTATATACTCCTCCTGAGAGAGGGTATGTTTTAAGTTTTTTAAAGTACAGAACTGGTAGAAGGACGGACACATTTTAAGTTAAATAGAAGGCAACCTTCTAACGTCTTAATCATTTTTACGTCATCACGTCTTAGCGTTATAATCGCCTCGAACGTATTAAAGCAGAGCTCTTATTTTATGTACCATGTTTGCCAACAAAATCTTCCTTTAGCAAACGTTATGTATAAAAGCATGTAGACATTATTAAAAGTTTATCGTATGTATCTTGTATGGTGTACTTCGACCGGTGTGTTTTTTCTGGGTAAACACGTAGGTTTCGATTTAACTGCTAAAAGACCCAGGAGCTGTGTTTTACGGTGCGGGCACCACAGTGTGTACAAGCAGTGCACAATTAAGTGTTAGTGCTCATTGAAGCAGGAGAAGATTTTTAATTATGAGTCAAGTAACTGCATTATAAATAAAGAAAGTGTCATTTACAAGCTACAGTATGAATGTTTTAAAGGAATAGAATTGATTGCATTTTTAAACGTGCCGTTATTAATTGACCAAAAAAATGTAGTTAGCTATTGGCTGCATTTGAAGCAGGCTTTCACATTGATGCCGAGCTGTAAAACTCTTAACAGACCATTAAACGTGCTGTAAGGCTTTTCCATTCAGGCAGTCCAATAAACTGTAGGGATGATCCAGCCACCATACAAGCACAAAATAAAAAATGGAGAAAACCCTGTTCCTCCATATCAGGAATTTGAGCAAACAGTCCCTTAACCTAGATATTTATACAGAATGCCAAGAGCATGCAAGTGAGGTGAGAGAATTTAGAAATGCCTATTTCTGTGACAGTGTTCACTCTCTAAGAGAATCTGAAACTTATAGTGTTCACTTTCTAATGAAAGGTCTCCCTCCAGTTTTAATGGAGAGTGTGTGCATCGTGGTTTATTTCAGACCTGAAGGCTGCTGCTTCTGGGAAGGAGAGATCCTGCACACTGAGCTTGTTAGAGGACACAGCTGCCACAATGCAGGTAGGAGTATCTCTGCTCTGCTGACACACAACCTGTGTTTTATAATCCAGGTTCTTTTGCTCAAAGCCCCATCTCTAATGTAAAGCATTTTGTAAAATAACAGCTTCACTTCTGTAGCTAAAGCTCTGTCCACCTGCTTCACTGGTAGAATGCGTGAATATTCTTGATATTCAGGACTGTGAAACAGTTATCCAAGGAAGGTAAATGTTTAATGTTTAGTTTCACATCACTTTGTTCTAAACTATGAATTTCTGTTTTTATCACTTTTGTGATGCTGCTAGAGGCACAGTACTGAATGGGAAGAACTGTTTCCCACAGTGTTGGTTTAGTCTTTTTTTTTAACAGGGTATACCACTGTCCTCAATATAGAAGTTGCTTTTTCATAATATACCAACCAGCTGGAAATGAATCCTGTTTTTTTCCACATACTTTTCCCTATAAAATAAAGACTTGTTTAACTGGTCTCAAATACCATTTACTAATCGAACCGACAGATAATTGTAACCCCCATGGTATCACACTTTGTAGTTTTCATTGAATACTTATCACCTAAGTGCAACATATTTCAATTTAAAGTCTAGCTTTTCAATTTTTGATGTAAAGCCTGACATTACTTTTATGCTTCTATTTTTCACAGCGAGTCTGACCTCCTGAAATCACCTGTTCAATTCCTTCGCAGTCTGTTCTCACTCCTCCACCTGGTTCGTGGTGACTGAGCTGCTGCTACATATAAGTCAGTGACCCAGGAGAGCTGCACTGAGGGGTGGGTGAAGTGTGTCCCCTCCTGTCGGTGAAGTGCCCTGGACTCCTGTGGGGTGAGAAGTACTTTATCAGTACAGCTGTTAAAGGTTCTTAAAGAGCTGTAGGTCTTCTGTAACTGTGGTGAATTTCCTTCATTGACTTCCAAGATGTTATGAAAAAGCATTTTCTGTTATTCACACGTCTGTTAGCTTATAAACAGTGAACGAGTAGGTGACGCTCTTCCCTGTGACCCAGAATTTCCACACCAAAGCCCGAGTACAAAGACATTTTTGGGAGACCCCATTTTGTCTTCATACAGTATATACTTTAGGTGTGTAACATTTTCTGTTTTACAAAATACACCTCTTTACCCCTGATGTATAATTTAAATATCCTGGGTTATACAGGGATCACACAGGTCACTGTCACTGATACTCTTGGAGTTTTATCTGTGTTCAGTATTGCTAACATGCTCCTTGGCTTACTACTGTACTAAGCACGTTAATTCCAACCTTCCCTTATACAGCCAGATAAAAGCTTTTTATGAACATGAATGGTATGATTTTGGGGCCGCATTGTCAGAGCAGAAATCCATCACTGGCATGTGTACTGTTATTCTAGACTGCTTTAATTGGGTTGGGTTTGTCTGGCAGTTTGTTTTATCATCATTATTTGAGCTCATAATATGCCTTTATCCACAGCAATATAATTCATCATACACAATGATTAAACAATAGGCTTTGTATTGATTATATTTTCCATTGGCCTTGAGCAGCTGTCCCTCCCTGCTGCTGACACTACAGAAAACCTGTTGATACTTCTTTTGAACTTTGGGAATTGTATTTGAATCTGCAGTTAAACAGATGTGTCTGTATGTGTGTGTATATACTGTACGTCCTCTGGGTCAGTGTAAAACTACCCTGCAAAGGCCAGTTACTATCTGAGTAATACAGAGGGATGTTGGGCAGGTTGTTAACCTTTACTTTTGTGAAACAGACTGAGATTTAGGCTTGTAATGATTTTCAGTATCAGTTCATATTTATGAAATGCACACAAAATTGTTATATAGCAGTTTTAGTTCTAGGTAACCTTGTCACATAGTGAAATCTGTTTTCGGATTTATTGATGGGGAAAAATGATTTTTATTTCCAGGGTTTAATGATTGTATTTCTCAATTCTCAGCAGTGCTGACGAGCACAGGCCTTTACCCTGAGTCCCTGAGCTGTGAGGATCATGAGGACACCTGGACAGTCAACACAGTCTGCAGCTTCACCTGTATAAGAGGTCACTCTTAACAGCAGTTTCTTACATCGTTCGCAGGGAGTTATGATGCAGGGTTTTCTCTTTCAGTGGATTAAAAAAATTCACATTCCCAGTTTCTGGAACAAATGTTGATATAAAAAGATTGAATTGTTAGGAAAACAATACAGTGATCATTCTATCACTTGATACACATTCTCCATGTTCAGTAACAGCTCTGCACCTGGAGTAAAAAATGTTGAAACTTGAATCTCTTTGTCTGTTGTATTTCAAATAATCTGTTCATACAGTAGTTCAGTGTTTCATGTTTTGTGAAAAAAGAGGAAATGTAAACTGGCTTACTATGTAAACTAAGAATGGTTTTCTTATATTTGTCTTTTTCTGAGTAAAGTCCAGTTTCTTCCTGGGTGTGTCTATGCTGTGGGTACTGTACAGATCTCTTGGAGAATTGGATGGAGATGGATGTTGATTCACATTTGTTAAATATATGCCCTAAAGTAGTGAAGAATACATATTGCTTTGATGAAAAGTTGAGTTGGATTCTGCATCATTGTTAATTCTTTGAATGTTAACTTTATTTTTTCTGTCACTGACTGATCATTAAATGTTTGAAGAGTTCCCAAGTGCTTCTTTTTAACATGCTCCTGTCAATCTTTAAAAGTTAAATTGCTTCAGTTCATGGGTCTGTCCTCAAAATATCTATGTAAATGTGGAAGAGTGTCCAGAACTATCGTGTTGCACAGCAGATTATGGGGGTGTGTGTTCAGCACCCCATAAGCTCCTGATTAACCATGTAATGCTCTTTCAGAAGACAGTCAGATTTGCTCATACAGTGCTGTGGTGATTTTTCCACATGGTGAGCTAAGCCACAGGAAAGCACATTAAGCTCCCCAACTTGTTTGTATTCTCTTTCAAATTCTGGTCAATAACACATTAACCATTTCTACACAGAGCACTTTACAATTAACACAGGAGGCCCTTCTCCTTCCTGCTTTTAGCTGCTCAGCAGTCTACATGTTAACAGGACTACACACCTGCCACAAGTAGAGCTCAAGGCAGTTAAGGCTAGAGCTGCTCCTCCAGATCTGTATTACTGCCTACACCAGTTTGGCCAAGAGCAATATTTTCTAATAGAGGACTGCAGGATTTAGAGTGTATTTTACCAGAATTATGATGCAAGATCATTCTGTTAGTAAACAGGTGCTTGTTCACAGGCAGGATCCTTTTGTGCACATACAAGCAACTGGGGTTTTACAGTCAAGTTGCAGGAAAGAAGCTGGTGCAGTACATAAAGAGGAAGATGAAGCACCTAACTTCATGACCGACGGGCACCGTGAACAGCTTGCAGCGACAAGAGAAATAGCTGTAGGCTCTTTAAAGAGATGGGAAGATCACACATTGAAACTCGCTAGTCCTAGATGAGGTAACCCTCAGGTACATTAACCCCACCTCGAAATTCAGTCATTAAGAAAATCCTGTAATACATTAGTTTATTCAAAAATAAACTATACAGGCTTAATGAATCCAGCCGTTATTAGTCAGTATTGAACATCGCTCAGGCGGTCCGCAGTCTGGAGCCCCGGGAGAGGAAACGCTGCTCTTTCAGGACACAGCCGGAGAGACGGTGGGTAACCTGGGACCGCGAGGTGAGTCCGGCTGCTCTCCGGGATCACCTGCCGCTTGAACACAGGAGAGAAAGCGTTTCACATTTTAATACCTTTAGTCACAAGTTTCGGCCTCTCGCCACAGCCGATACAAAGGTTGCACCACTTTTTGAAGGCAGAAGTAAGCGGCTTATTCGCAGGAAGAAAAGTCGACCGCTTCCGAGATTTCTCTAAGTACAAACACAAAGCTCTTTTAACTTGAAGCCAAGAGCAGACCAGCCGGATTCTCTCACCTTCGAATTCACCGCTCATCTCCCCAGTTTCACGCTTCACGGGAGCTCTGCGCTTCGGCCTTCATACGGTTGTAGAGGACAGGAAGGCTGGGGAGCTGGAGAGGAGAAACTGCATTAAATGAGTCCTGTCGAAACACGAGTAACGGACCTGACAAAGCATTACAAATATAGGTAGCAGGATTAAATAGTAACAAAAAAAAAGATACACTGTATTCATTCCACCCTTTTTAGAGGTACGAAAGTTGTTGGTTTAGCTTTAATTAAACGGTTCTTGGACAGCGACGAATTCGCTTTTCTAGTTACTCAATCCCCGATTTAATTTTGAACTGTTCCTGTGCGAACACAGAGAAACTTTATCCGATATTCTGATGCCCAGATTAAATGAAACATTGCAATGGGCGCAAAGCCGCTATTTAAAGGCAAAGACGCAATACAGCTGCCAGAACCAGTTTAATTGGAGACCAATTGAAGGCTGATACAAGATTAATCACACCTGACTTTTAATTGTTTGGAAATAACTAAAACACGGACTGCATCTTGGAGTTGGCCGTCTCCGCACTGAACACACAGTCTCTCAAAAACGAGTGATCAGGAGTACAATCCCACTCCATACTTTTGACTGTGCCGCTAATGAAGTACCTTTGAAACTTTAACGGACATTTACGAATTGTTTTCAACTCAATTAACAGATATTTTATTCATCCAAAAGGATTCAGATCATGAATAGTAAAGGGTTAGAAATTAGCGTCAACCTTGCGCCACAAACAGTTTCATAATTCCCGTCTTTTAGCTTTGAATCATGGAGTACGAATAAACTGCTGCTGTCTGACAGTCAGTCTCACCTGTGATTACTGTACTGTACATCACTTATTGACAGTGGTACCCCCACCTTTCACTGCATAACCTGTGTGTACAGTCTATGACATGTAGAATTTTGATGACTTGATTCATGAAAATGAATTTGCACTATCATAGAGATTTCAGTTTTGAGTTAATATGAAACACCCGGATACCTGCCGCACACTGCTTCCACTAGTTCACCACCTGCGCTCCTTGCACTTTACTAAAGTAACTTTCTTCTAGTATATCAGATAGGAGCATATAGCATCTCTAACAGTAATAAGGAGAGACGTGATGCTTCACTGATTGCAAAACTACTTATTACATCTTATTCTGTTTTCAATCCATACACTCGTTCCCATTGTATTTATAGACATCGCTTTGGATTTTTCCATCTTTTCTCTGAAGGACTAAACGTATATAATACAGTATATGGAACCTTGTCAAAAGCCCGTGGAAATATACATGGATAATGTTGCGACAACTATTAGTATAAAGGAACTTAAGGGCTATTCTACCCAAACACCAGCTGGGATATAAAACATTTAGATTAATTGAATCGCTCATTTATTTTAGAAAACAGTTGTTTTTAGAATCATTTCAGACATATTGTTAAAAGAATGAAAGAAACATGAACATCTTAACCTGTCAGGCTTCACGTCTGAAACACGACATACAGGCTCCTCCAACTCTACTGCAAATTGTGATACTTTATTTTTCACCATTATTAGAAAAGATAAGCAAGTAGTGACCAGTTGCACAAAAAGCCTAGAAAAATACATTACAAAAGCGTCTCATTAGCCTTAAGGCTTTAAACCGCCTCGTCTCGGAAGTGTGACTTGGCTTAAGACTGAATAAGAGAGTCACATGGGCGGTCTTCAGCGTGGCAGGCCTGGTGGCTCCGTGGGCTAACCCATCGGGCACTTTCTAAAGTCCAGACAATTGGATC